GATATGTTTATCAAGCCCAATAGACTCTGCAAGGTAATTGTCATCAGTAATGGTGGCTGGATATGGGCATCTACACAGCTACTGTACTCTATGTTCTGGTTTTCCAGCAGTAGCCAGACCTCTGTATCCATTGTTCATGACTGACGTATGGTGCCGTCAACTCTGCTCAGTCACCACATCGTTCCAATGTGGGTTTCTGGGTCGGGCACAATGGGTATCCCTGTGCTGGAGCTGGTTGTGTCGTATTGGAGAGGGGGTGATGGTTTTTGGGGGTTGTTTGGGAATGGTAGAGGCCCTCTCGAGTCCCAAGTGTCCCTCTACCCTTCTCCACCCCCCTTGCCCATCTCCTACAGCTCCCCATCACACAACGCCAGGCCTTGTAAGGCTGGGGAAAGCCAACACCAGCCTCCCAGAGCCCCTACAATCAGAGCCACCATTGTACAGGGAATTTTCTCAGGATATCTAACACCCCGCTAAATGGGGGATCCAGTCGCACATTCCACTCTCCTCACTTGGAGAGCCAAACGAGGGTTGGAAAATACTTTTAGACGCTTTTCAGAAGGACTGATCACCTGATACAGCAGTACTCTGCACCTCTCAGGCAGGACAGAGGGCCTTGTCAGGGGAGCAGAGGCCCCGCTGCTCACTGGGCAGCAGTGTTCCTGCCAGCCAGTCCGGAGCAGCACAACACTACAGCGCAGTGTGTCCATGCCGACAGGGCAGGCCTATTCCCAGCGGTTTACCCGCCGAGCACACTGAAAGGGCTCCACTCACTAATCCCATATCCTGGGTGGGAGGCTCGTCTCCTCTTTAGAACCAGAGATACCTCCACTGGAGGAAGAGCGCAGCAAAACTCCACCCTCATCCACCGGCCTGTATCTTAGTAAACAGAACGTTTTCAGGCTTAGAGGACAGGACAGAGAGAGCTCTCCAAGACAGGCTCCAGCAAAGCCACAGTGGAGGTGGTTAGTGAAGTGTTGACTGAGGGCTCCCAAGATAACGTCTTTAGACAGTAGGTCAGCCCTGTCAAACCACAGCAAGGGGAGGACAGTAATACTGTTAACATGTCTTAGATGCACAGGTCTGACAAACAACCAAAAACATGTCTCTGGCCTCGCTAGCATTTCATGTCTCTTCAGTTCAAAAACACGGTAGTGTGTGACTCCAATAGAATTTGGTTAAACAGGGGAAAAAATAAAAAACATGTTCAGTGGAGTGGAGTGAGACAGAAGGAATGTGATGGCTCCCAGAGGGAGTGAGAGAGGGGATATGGATTCCAAACTTGAGATGAAGAATGAGGGAGAAGGGTGAGCTGATCTCCAAAATGTAAGAAAACGTTTTTAAAAGAACTCAGAGATGTGAGCAAAGGTTCCAGGCCCTTTGGCCCACCTGCCTTCATAAATACCACAAACATGTATGGTCATCCCAGACAGCCACGCATGATGGAGGAGCATGTAAGTCAGTGCATTCCTAAAAGGCTGCTGATAAAGCAGCCAACTAGTACCGCTCCGAATAGCCGCCACTCCAGTCTGCCTGGGGTGTCTGAGGTACATACCTTCAAAGCTCTCCACAGAAAATTAACATCTCATAACACAAGTGTCCTTACGAACTGTCTGTCTGCACAGAGATCCAACCAGGCATCTCTTCACCCTCCCCTCCTCCAGACAACCTTTTGGAGTAAGACAACATGCCATGCACAGCTATTACTCTTAAAATAGAGTGACAGAATTTTACTGAACTTCAAAGAATGCAGCTTGCTACATAAGCAGATTTATTTCGCAGTCAAAAACTCCCTGTTCTAGAAACAGGACAGACATACCGCACAAGGGAAATGATTGATCAGGCCCCCAAAGGAGTGTTGATAGACAGCTTGATATTGATGATACCTATAATATCTGTCAGCTACGAGCTCTCAGAGCGAACAGTATAAGCTGCTTGGCTGGCGGGACCACCCTCACCATGAAAATGGGAATATTCCATATTAGACCAGATGTTTTATACTGGCCTCTGATCAAGTCATCAGCTCCTTAGATGAAGAGCTGAGTTTAATCTTCATTCTCCAGGCCAGAGAGGCCATATTTATCTAACTCCATGTAATGTTCATACAACTTATAAAACGAATGGAATTCCATTCCCTGTCCCTCGGCCATTAAGGGTCTTGCATGTTTTTTCCTGCTCTGTCGTCTCTCATGTTGTGTCTTCTGTGGGACTAATGCTTGGGATCCGGGCAGTAAGACATAGCTGGAATATCTCATGATGAATTTTCCCACAACATTCTCTCTCCTTTAGCTAACTGAAATATTTCCAGACGCCTTCCCCGCTTTCCTTTTGTTGCTGGAACAGTAAATAAACATAGTGAATTCAAGCAGAAATCTGCTGATAACCCCAACCACATTTTATTTACTGCTAGTGAGACAACCAGTGAAGATTACACTAATGAGTTTCATATAGTAGACCGCTAAAGGTCAAGTATATTGTTTTACTGAGAGCTAATCATTCTCTTCCTTAGTGATCATTGAACAAACCGTTTCCAGATTGTATTCCAACTTAATGTCAGATCTTTAAAAAAGTGACCTTTCAGTTCCCCGGCAATGAAAATATCAAATGCTGTCTGCATCCTTTCTTTCTTGCTGTGAAGCGTCTACATGTAATGCACAATGGCCTTGGAAACTTAAATCGTCAAGTTGTGCAGTTCTTTGGAGGTCTATGTTTACACTGATTGGTTACGCATGTTGAAATCACATAGGAAGTAAAGGGCCTGTGCAATGGGACTTTGTCCCAGAGTATGAGGAAGACCTACCTGTGACAGTGGTCTGGACAGTCTGTAACTAGACGTCTTCTCTTCTGGAGACAATGAACACAGCTGGATGCTATAAAATGACAGAGGAAGATTACACTGATAATGGTGTGTGCCATCACATACAAAATAACCATAATGGTCTCAATGGAAATAATTGACCAAAATGTCATGAAAAGGTGCGTCAAACGGCTATCATAAACAAGCCATAACACTTCTCATTACCGTTCATATTAATTTATGAAATGTGTGTGTTCAGGGTCATGGGATCATATTTTTACTAGCTCTCCAGATTACTAGGACAGGAATAAATAAGGATGGTCTAGCAGCCCTAGACAGGCATTCGATTCACCTGGGGCAAAATAAGGTTTGAACTGTGACCTACAAAATGACCCAGGAGAATAGCAGCTAGGCTTACAGACAGAGCAGAGTGGCGAATGTTCCACGGCCTGGCCCATTGATGCTGTGAATGAACAGGGTGGAATGTGATATGCTGTGCACATCCTTTGTTACTACCACACAATCCCATGGCTCCATTTTCTGCCAGTTACTATTGTACCTATTTACTCTGGTCCAGTGTAGGACTCAAAGGAGCACTTACAGTAAGTGGATGCTCTTGTAGTCTACCCTACGCCCATCCCCAACTTAAAGGCCCAGTACAGTCAAAAAAGTGCTTTTATACATACATTATCCACATCAAAATTATGATAATCCCCTTTTAGTGTAAGACCTGTTTGAAAAGAACGCCTGAAATGTAAGCCTATTTTGGTGGGATGGAGTTTTGGCCTGCATGGTGACATCACCAGGTGTTAATTAGATAATAGACCAATAAGAGAGTTCCAAACCCCTCTGCCAATAACAGCTAGTTTTCAGTTTTCCACTCACAACCCAGACCACTCCCAGATAGTCCTAGCAAGATTAGTGCTTGAGAAATTTATTTTTGACCATTTTAATTGAAAACAATCACAGTAAGGTACTTAATTGTTACCCATAAATTATTTGATATTGAAATAAAAAAGGCTGCAGTGGACCTTTAACTAAAAGCACCTGGATAAATATAGTAACCTATCACCATCTATCCATTGTGGTATCTATCCACTCTTTTCATTCTCAAGCAACGCATGCATGTCATGGTCATTTAAAGGGAAGTCAGTTTGAGGTGATGGTGGATGCTGTAGTGTACCTCTTGGTGCTGGTGGGTGTGAGCCGCTCTCTCTTCCCCTCAGGGCTGGAGGGGGGCTCAGGGGAGTAGGGTCCAGGTGACAGGGAGGCTGGGCTGGAGATGGAGTACTCTCTGTAGTTCTGGTTCTCATCTCGACTCACCAGCACCGCTTCCTACAACAGAACAGGGCATGACAGACAGTCCGCAAGATCAAAACATTTAATGCATTTATCCACACACAAAAATGTGACAAACTGCTTATCCGTATTCCTAAAATAACTTGTCTTGCAAGGATGTTTAAGAAATTGATTCACGATGTAACTAAAACAGTTGTCTCCTTTAACTTTTAGAGGGTGCTCAGACGCTGTTGACAAGGAGGCGCCTGAGATATATGCTTAATAAAAGTCTTCAAAAAGACGGAAATACAGTCAGTACACATTGAGGTATAATGTACAGTCATGTTAGAGCTGCACATCCTGAGGTAAGTGAAACCAGGTTTGTGGAAATCAGATATGTAATATCACCATGTTAAAATGATGACAGTGAGTGTTCGGTCCAAGCCTTCAGCCTTGGGCCCTGCATGGGCTCATATTCTGCCAGTGTTACCACGGAGACCCAGCAGTAGTTCTGTCACCCTATTAAAAACAGGAACCCACTGATTTACAGCATTCTCTGGTTCCTCTCCCATGTGTTTCACTGTCCCAGGGCCACAGAGTTATGGAGTATCTCTACAGTCACACGAGGATATCTCATTCAGGCTCATCTGGACCTCCAATAAATCATTGATAAGCAGACGCCCAGTGATCTGTAAATATGAAGCAGACCCAGCATCTACATGGCTCTCAGGCATCAGCCATTACACAAACCATTAGGACAGGATTCATCATGTAGAGATATGCTGCTGATGTAACCAGATACTGGAGGATAGTGGGATAAACACTGTAGGAAAGAATGTCTCGATAGGCCTTCACTTCGTGACCTAACAACAAAGTACTGATTCACAGATAAAAGTGTTTAAATACTTTACAGTGAGACTGTTTAAGGTGATAGCTGTCCTAAAGGGAACTTGCAGACCAAAGATGGAAGCCCCTGCATAAGGAGATAGAGAACATGATTGACTGACCTGGAAGCGTCCAGTGAGCTGTTCTGGGGTGGTGGTTCCATTGGTCTGTTCAGGGCTGGGGGCATCAGGCCTGTAGGAAAAGACACTGGAGATCAACGGACCACACACACGGACAAACACATACCTAACCTGTAATAAATCAGGAGAATGGTATCCACATCCCAGGAGAGTGCAACACTGGCCCAGTAGAGTAAAACTGCCTTCTGTACCACATAATTCACCTATGTCAAGCCCTAAACAAGTACCCAAAACCATGATTGCTTAATATTAGTTGTTAAAGGATAATGAGTAAGAAAGCTTGCAGACGTCAATGCATTACAGGATACAAGCCAAAACCCCCACATTAGTTTTACTTCAAAGACATGGACCAAGGTCAACTACAGTAATTCTCACACTAATGATTCAAATCAGGTCTGTTAGATGACTTGAGCCATGCCAAAGTATTCCCTACAATGATAGCCTGGAAGCTCTGATAACATCATCGAATGTAATGTCTCATATTATTAATCAACATGTTAAGTAGAATGGTCTGATTTGATGTGGTTATAGATACATCACTCTACACAAAGGTTCAATTCAGATATTTTGTGAGCGCCGGAGGACATGTGTGTGCTTGCGTGCGTATTAGGAGATGTACCATTTATACCGTATACTGGGGTATTTCAAAATACTGACAGTATGATTTTCAATACATCAAACATGTATTGGACTTTTACACACCGCGGCGGTGTGTGCTACGCCACTGCTTATAACTATAAGTATAAACTATAAGAAATCTAAGATGTGTCAAATAAATTATATCCAGCTCAGGGCTCTAGCTTTGCATTTGGTTTGTTAACTTGCTAGATCTCAAGATCAAGCTTATTGGTTACAGGAGAGACATTCTAGCCTGAGTACCAGTCTCTCTAGCTAACATTCCACTCCTTGTCATTACCAAAGAGACTGGCCTTTCTGACATCTTCAAATATGAACAACCTATCATTAAATGAGCTCGAGGAGAACAGAGGAGTTGATCCTGAGTCAATAACCCTCACAGCTATCCTCCAATCACAACGATTACCCAAATATTATCACTTTTTTCTCTCCACAGAACACCTTGGTATCTGCTTGCTAAGCAACTGTTTGTTTGTCTATACAAAACCAGTCTGTCAAAAGTTGCTAGCTCACATCTAAAATCTCAAACTAAATACATACTGCAATTCCAACCACAAAACCTATTTGCTTTGATTTTAAGAATCAAAATACAACAACTTGCAACAGCTAAATGTTTGTTTTTGACTTTGTTATAATTCAAATTCTATTTGGGGCTCCACATGTTGTCATGGAAAATATTAAATGTTATTTCCAACAACCAATGAGCAAATCCACCGTAAATACAGCTGCATATTGAACACCAGTCTCTTTCAGCAATGATATGGAGTGGCATGTTAGCTAAAAAGACTGGTACCCAGACTAAAATACATTCAATCCCCTCCTGGATTAAGATCCCTGTTGCCTAACTTGTTTTGTGCGTAAAAAAAAATACTACTTATCTATCTATACACACAACCGTTCAAAATGTTGGGGTCACTTAGAAATGTAATTGTTTTCGAAAGAAAAGCAATTTTTTTGTCCATTACTGGTCCTCAACTGGCAGCTTCATTAAATAGTACATGCAAAACACCAGTCTCAACGTCAAAAGTGAAGAGGCGACTCCGGGATGCTGACCTTCTAGGCAGAGTTGCAAAGAAAAAGCCATATCTCAGACTGGCCAATAAAAATAGCGCTCCTTGTGTGCACATCCAGTAATACCGTATACCCCGGTATGGTACAGAAACGGTATGTTGGTATGAAAATCTGACTACCGCCCTAAAGTGCGTATATGTCACAAGAGATCGGAGAGTGAAACTGAAGACTAACAGTGAGTATAAACCAATGTGCAAGTGCGCACTTGCAAAAAATCAAAAGCGGATATTCGAATCAGACACCTTATTTTGGTTTCCCTATGCCAAAGTGCTGTCAGTACAACCACTGGTATGTTGTTTTGATTAAAAATGCCTGCAGTCAACAGGTAGTACAGAATCTTCAAAACGATTCTCAAGCTCTTTAACATGATGCTCCTAGCAGAGTCATCTTTCCAGCTCTTTCAATGTGCTCGCATTAATAAAACATATACACAGTTCTATCATTGAGTTCGGAGGGGAAAATGTAGGGACTGTACGAGCCAATGTAAATAACTAGTGCCCCCCCGCCCCCACTGTAGGGCTGCCTGCCTCTCCTCTCAGCTGAGCCTCAGCCCAGGGTAATGAGGCGCACAGGAAGGCCCTGGATGCCTGTGGTAAATCGCCCAGAAACACACCTCTAACAGCAGGAACAGGGTCTGGGCTGTATCTGAATACTCCACATGTGCAGGCGCACATCCAACCAGAGGAACAGCTGAAATAGGAAAACAGGCTCCTCATGCTACAGCAGTCAGAAAATATTACACTTACAGGATAAAATGGGACATAATGGATGGTTAATTGGAGTTCAAAATAAGTTCCCTGTAAGGAAATGCCTGTGTTTTCACTTGGAATTCCAAAAAAGTTAACACAAGAAAGTTCAATTTGAGCTGTGTGTATCCAGTTCAACTCCTCTGGTTGAGAGAGACAAGGATAAAGTTAACTGATGTCCTTCAGCCAATGAGAGGCATCCAAGATTAACTGCTGGGCCTTATGTAATGTGACATTTGCCCTCTACCACAGGCCTCATGTACAGCAGTAGATGGGTGGATAAGCATGGGCTGAGAGCAGTGGCTGTCCTCAAACTATGGCGAGCTGAAGATGATCGTCTCACCTCTAGAGATCTATCTGATCCCTGCACGGAACAGGGACTTGTATTAGGGTTTGTTGTGCAACATCCCTGATCCAAAAATGAACAGTATGTTGATCTTTGTCATGTAGGGGACTTGGGAGTTTGGCTGCCATGCATTCTTCAGTTAGATAGGAATCTATGCAATCTATTGTCTGCCCTCTGAACTTCATATTAATAATGAAAACAGAGAATATTAATAGAAAGGAACGGCGACAATCCAGTAAACTAATATACAGTACATACCAATGTCTTGTCTTATAGACATCTTGAATTCCTTTCGAACACTGTTCACATAGACCATGGCATGCCACTTCTCACTTGTACTACTCCCTTCTCACTATCCACAGACGTGAGACTTTGGCGCAAAGAAATTGAAAGAAACATGACTGTATAGGGCTGCCTCTATAGAACAGCCTTTAGACAATTCCGATGCCCATCTGCAGTTGCTCAGTAACATCACATTACAAGGACCAATAGGATCAGAGGGACATGACATCATGCACACCGGGTCAGTGAACAATGGATTCATTAGAGACAGCTGAGGGCAATGGAGGCTAAATGACCGAGCATTAATGACAAGATACTGCTGGTGTTTTTCTATAGAGCGTCACAGTAAAATCACCACTGAGCTGCAGATTTCAAACTGGAATTAAAAAGTACAGCAAAGAGCGCACAAGTCTGGTTATTGCACAAACGGGTTGTTTGATGGGTTGAGCACCTGCCAGTGCATCTGCAATGGAGAAGTTCCTCAGTTTAAGACAGGCACGCCTTAATCAACACTCGTATTCTAAGGGTGGGCTGATGCCAACCTCTGCCCATGGGCAAACCCAACTGTAATCCAGCTGCTTTGATCAGCAGGGCTGTAAACCCATTTCCCAGGGTCCTCTCTGTTTATACTTCAGATTATCAGACATTACACTGCAGTATGTGTGTGTGCTTTGAATGATGCCTTCTGGGAGTAAACTTCCATTTAAGGACAACACATTAATTGCATAATGCTGCAGGTGGATCAACAAGGGCCACATTCTGTAGTTGATTGGAGGTGGCTAGAGAGGTGCTGGACTAGAATGGGTAAAAGAGACATGGTACGGCCTACCATCTAAAGAGAGTAGGGCCTTGCTAGTGCAGACCACCCTTCACCACCTTGCCCATCCTGTCTGCCTCTGCCAGTAAAACAGTGGTACTTGGGGCAAAGTGGCTGGCGGCGCTACAGAGTGCCATTGTCCTAGGCAGCTAGGGACTCACGGTGTGTGTTGTTTCTGGCTTGGAAGGAGACATGGGGTCAGCAGGGAAAAATCCACTCACATGGACCCGGGACATGCAAAGAGGAAGTGTGTGTGAGTTTGTCTGTCTGTATCTCTGTGTGTGTGTTTATCTATATAGAAGTTGGTGGGAGAATTAGAAGTTGGTGGGAGAATTCACTCACTCACACACACACACACACACACACACACACACACACACAGAGAGAGTGATGGGGGAGCGAGAGAGAGAGAGAGAGAGAGACAGAAAAACAGAGACTGAGAAAGGACCCATAATCAAAACACCAGCCAAGAACGGTCTCACTTCCCAGGAAAAGGTCCAATGTAGAGCCAATTCTCTGCCACTCTAACAAGGTCTCAGCTAACTTCCAAACAAAGTTTATTAACATGGAAAATGGAAGACAGCACATTTTGGCAACATAATTCTGACACATTCTGGTATTCCCCCAGAATGAAACCACTGGTCCTTTGTAGGGAGAGAGAGCTGGGACATCTTAAGACATTAAAAAACTAAAACAGCAGACAAGTGGAAAGAGGATGTGGCGACTGTGGAACTGGCACAAATACAAGCAATCAGCAGATCTAAACTGACCAGAAGGCACAGATGTGGTCTCTATGCCACATTGTGGTGACCCCATCTGATGTTTGGATGAGTGTTTCCATGGCGAAGCTGTTAATGTAAGCATTTTCTACAGAATAGAAAACATCTAGGCAGCTAGCCTAGCAGTTAAGAATGTTGGGCCAGTAGCAAAAAGGTTGCTGGTTCGAATCCCCAAGCAAACTAGGTGAAAAATCTGTCTATATTTACTTGAGCAAGGCTCTGGATAAGGGTCTACTAAATGACAAAAAATGTAATCTACGCCAAGATATGAATGAAAACATCTTGACACAGTACATGAGGATACATCTGTGCTCCTGGACTGTGCACTGTAGTGAACCCTACCTCTCCACCAGCAGCTGCAGTTGAGTCTTGGAGTTTTTGATCTTGTTCTGGGCCTCCACATTGAGCATGTCCACTGTGTTCTCTCCATTGATCTCCAGGATGACATCACCAGGCTGCAGGGCAGCCAGCTCGGCTTTGCTTCCCCCGTTGACCTGTGGGCCAGAGGTAAGAGCTGCAGTCAGACTCACTCTACTGCCTGTGGACTTGGTGCAGACATGGTGCTATCAGCAACGTAAATAACCAGCATGCCTGAACGAAAGGCTGCATAGCTTATGAGTGTTGGACTATTTTTCAAGGGCTGACAGATACACTGATGTGAATGGTCATGATGACAAGTCAATGAAGATATGATTGTAATAACATGAGGCCCAGCCAGATTGTGGCTGTTCTGAAGAGATGGGTTGTTTTCCTCAGTTTGCCTTCCAGGTGTCAATCAGGACTTGCAGGGCTCTAGCAGGTGATTGTATTACATTTTGGTTGCAATAAATATCAGACACCACAGCTCATCATGCGCCTGGAAAACCTCAACAGTGAGGATTCATGACACCCTGAGGGAAAAGTCATCCGTGGGACAGTACTGGGGCTGTGGGGTTGACTACTCTGGCCTAACCTTTGACGCAGGCCTCCCCCATGTCAAGGCAAATGGGGTCTACTGCCTGCATTAGGGGGGAATTCCAGCCCAATGGAAGGGTAAATCCATTTGAATTCAATAACTTTTTGACAGCATCTCTTGATTTAAACATCTCTTGATTGGACATGAATGCCAAAACATTCAGGAGATAAAGGTGCTCAAAGTTGACCCATTTCGCATACCCCACCATGCAATGACAAATCCATGTCTTCATCACTGGAAAAGATAAACGGTTGAGTTTGATATCATTTAAAAGCTTACAAAACAGGGCTTACAAACTATTTTATAATTTCGGCAAAACAATTTTTTGAATACAAATGTAACCTTTAACGATAATTATCTAAAAACGCGTAAACTCTGATTTATTTCATATTCAGATATGGGTCAAAATTCCCAAATGGTTTGATATACATTTAATTATGATTTTCCTGCAGCTTCACATGTGTAGTTAAACAAGAGTCTAGATAGGCACAATGAGAACATAAATCCCAGCAACAAAACATCTACATGTCATTCAAAATGTCACATGAAACATGGACACTGAATGTTTCTTTGTCATGCCTAGTAGTCAGGTCAGTTTGTGCTTTAGTCAACTGTTCTATCATTCATGCTAAACCTTCCAGAAGAATGAAAAAGATAAACAGCATTTCTATATTTTTCTATAATAATTTAATACAATAATATGGGTTCTGTCAACAAAATAATTGACAATAATAACCAATAATGAAATCATTATAATCAGTAACCTCTTCAAGCAGTGTGTGTGTGTGTGTAAACTAGACATCACATTTCTTTTTCTTTTTTTTTGGGGGGGGGGGGGGGGGGGGTAGATCAGCTTAATATTGCAGATAGATTGTAACTTCCATCAATTTAATTGTCTGCATCACTTCCAATCCCCCATGTTATATATATATATATATATATATATATATATATATATATATATATATATATATATATATATATATATATATATATATATATATATATATATATATATATATATATAAGCAAACCGGATGGACATCATGAAAATGATCGGAGAGGTTGAGAGTAGAAGTAGTTAAGGAGAAAAAACAAACAAAATATAATTATTGTAAAATTGACTGTGTCCATAAAATGTATATAGTAAGTATAAGCTGGAAGTAGAGGCCTAAGCATTGTTGTTTACTAGTTTACTCCAATTAGGGAAAGGGTGGTGGGGTTGTAAAGTAATAAAGGGGAATATATATATTTTTTAAGGATATATATATATGTATGTATGTATGTATGTACAGTGGGGAGAACAAGTATTTGATACACTGCCGATTTTGCAGGTTTTCCTACTTACAAAGCATGTAGAGGTCTGTAATTTTTATCATAGGTACACTTCAACTGTGAGAGACAGAATCTAAAATAAAAATCCAGAAAATCACATTGTATGATTTTTAAGTAATTAATTTGCATTTTATTGCATGACATAAGTATTTGATCACCTACCAACCAGTAAGAATTCCGGCTCTCACAGACCTGTTAGTTTTTCTTTAAGAAGCCCTCCTGTTCTCCACTCGTTACCTGTATAAAATACACCTGTCCACACACTCAATCAAACAGACTCCAACCTCTCCACAATGGCCAAGACCAGAGAGCTGTGTAAGGACATCAGGGATAAAATAGTAGACCTGCACAAGGCTGGGATGGGCTACAGGACAATAGGCAAGCAGCTTGGTGAGAAGGCAACAACGGTTGGCGCAATTATTAGAAAATGGAAGAAGTTCAAGATGACGGTCAATCACCCTCGGTCTGGGGCTCCATGCAAGATCTCACCTCGTGGGGCATCAATGATCATGAGGAAGGTGAGGGATCAGCCCAGAACTACACGGCAGGACCTGGTCAATGACCTGAAGAGAGCTGGGACCACAGTCTCAAAGAAAACCATTAGTAACACACTACGCCGTCATGGATTAAAATCCTGCAGCGCACGCAAGGTCCCCCTGCTCAAGCCAGCGCATGTCCAGGCCCGTCTGAAGTTTGCCAATGACCATCTGGATGATCCAGAGGAGGAATGGGAGAAGGTCATGTGGTCTGATGAGACAAAAATAGAGCTTTTTGGTCTAAACTCCACTCGCCGTGTTTGGAGGAAGAAGAAGGATGAGTACAACCCCAAGAACACCATCCCAACCATGAAGCATGGAGGTGGAAACACCATTCTTTGGGGATGCTTTTCTGCAAAGGGGATAGGACGACTGCACCGTATTGAGGGGAGGATGGATGGGGCCATGTATCGCGAGATCTTGGCCAACAACCTCCTTCCCTCAGTAAGAGCATTGAAGATGGGTCGTGGCTGGGTCTTCACGCATGACAACGACCCGAAACACACAGCCATGGCAACTAAGGAGTGGCTCCGTAAGAAGGTCCTGGAGTGGCCTAGCCAGTCTCCAGACCTGAACCCAATAGAAAATCTTTGGAGGGAGCTGAAAGTCCGTATTGCCCAGCAACAGCCCCGAAACCTGAAGGATCTGGAGAAGGTCTGTATGGAGGAGTGGGCCAAAATCCCTGCTGCAGTGTGTGCAAACCTGGTCAAGACCTACAGGAAAAGTATGATCTCTGTAATTGCAAACAAAGGTTTCTGTACCAAATATTAAGTTCTGCTTTTCTGATGTATCAAATACTTATGTCATGCAATAAAATGCAAATTAATTACTTAAAAATCATACAATGTGATTTTCTGGATTTTTGTTTTAGATTCCGTCTCTCACAGTTGAAGTGTACCTATGATAAAAATTACAGACCTCTACATGCTTTGTAAGTAAGAAAACCTGCAAAATCAGCAGTGTATCAAATACTTGTTCTCCCCACTGTACGTACAGTGAGGGAAAAAAGTATTTCATCCCCTGCTGATTTTGTATGTTTGCCCACTGACAAAGAAATGATCAGTCTATAATTTTAATGGTAGGTTTATTTGAACAGTGAGAGACAGAATAACAACAAAGAAATCCAGAAAAACGCATGTCAAAAATGTTATAAATTGATTTGCATTTTAATAAGGGAAATAAGTATTTGACCCCGTCTCAATCAGAAAGATTTCTGGCTACCAGGTGTCTTTTATACAGGTAACGAGCTGAGATTAGGAGCACACTCTTAAAGGGAGTGCTCCTAATCTCAGCTTGTTACCTGTATAAAAGACACCTGTCCACAGAAGCAATCAATCAATCAGATTCCAAACTCTCCACCATGGCCAAGACCAAAGAGCTCTCCAAGGATGTCAGGGACAAGATTGTAGACCTACACAAGGCTGGAATGGGCTACAAGACCATCGCCAAGCAGCTTGGTGAGAAGGTGACAACAGTTGGTGCGATTATTTGCAAATGGAAGAAACACAAAAGACCTCTCAATCTCCCTCGGCCTGGGGCTCCATGCAAGATCTCACCTCGTGGAGTTGCAATGATCATGAGAACGGTGAGGAATCAGCCCAGAACTACACGGGAGGATCTTGTCAATGATCAAGGCAGCTGGGACCATAGTCACCAAGAAAACAATTGGTAAGACACTACGCTGTGAAGGACTGAAATCCCCCTGCTCAAGAAAGCACATATACAGGCCCGTCTGAAGTTTGCCAATGAACATCTGAATGATTCAGAGAAGAACTGGGTGAAAGTGTTGTGGTCAGATGAGACCAAAATGGAGCTCTTTGGCATCAACTCAACTCGCCGTGTTTGGAGGAGGAGGAATGCTGCCTATGACCCCAAGAACAGCATCCCCACCATCAAACATGGAGGTGGAAACAATATGTTTTGGGGATGTTTTTCTGCTAAGGAGACAGGACAACTTCACAGCATCAAAGGGACGATGGACGGGGCCATGTACCGTCAAATCTTGGGTGAGAACCTCCTTCCCTCAGCCAGGGCATTGAAAATGGGTCGTGGAAGGGTATTCCAGCATGACAATGACCCAAAAAACACGGCCAAGGCAACAAAAGAGTGGCTCAAGAAGAAGCATATTAAGGTCCTAGAGTGGCCTAGCCAGTCTCCAGACCTTAATACCATAGAAAATCTGTGGAGGGAGCTGAAGGTTTGAGTTGCCAAACGTCAGCCTCGAAACCTTAATGACTTGGAGAAGATCTGCAAAGAGGAGTGGGACAAAATCCCTCCTGAGATGTGTGCAAACCTGGTGGCCAACTACAATAAACGTCTGACCTCTGTGATTGCCAACAAGGGTTTTGCCACCAGGTACTAAGTCATATTTTGCAGAGGAGTCAAATACTTATTTCCCCTCATTAAAATGCAAATCAATTTATAACATTTTTTGACATGCGTTTTTCTGGATTTGTTTGTTGTTATTCTGTCTCTCACTGTTCAAATAAACCTACCATTAAAATTATAGACTGATCATGTCTTTGTCTGTGGGCAAACATACAAAATCAGCAGGGGATCAAATACTTTTTTCCCCTCACTATATATATATATATATATATATAGATATATATAAAAACATTGGGGATTGGAAGTGATGCAGGCAATTACATTGATGGAAGTTACAATCTATCTGCAATATTAAGCTGATCTACCCCTTAGAATAAAAAAAAAAGATGAAAAAAAAAGGATTACCCATGGTTAGCAAGGTCATATCAGTCAGCTAACCATTTACAGTAACAGCAGTTCATTAATAGGTCAATACACACTAAATTGTATGCAGAAATTGAGAAATGTGGCACAGTATGGGCAGCAATTAATCAATTCATTAATAGATTCATAGAATGGAGTTAGAAAGGTGATGACCTACATTGAAAGGACAGGAAGTGTTGGCTGTACACTTGACCAGGCATTCCACATTTACCCCACCCACATTTGAACATTAAATTATCAAGTAGTTTTTTGGTTTTATATGCAAAAAAAATAAAAATATATTCAGTAATTTCCCAGGATCAAAGTCAATGTGTAATTCAATTTTTAAATGCTTAGTATATGATAACAACGAAAAGTATAATAATATAATCCAAAAAATTTAGTGTTTTAAGTCACACAATTTTTGCAAAATCTGTGAAGACTCCAAGCACGAGAAAGGGTTTAAACATAGGTTGATTCAACTCATATATCTTATATAAACATGAAGAAAAAAAGCACATTATTATTAAGGACTATGTAACAGCTCCAAACAGTTGTCCACTACAAGAAATGCTCACTGGTACACTAGTTTATAGATGTGTGTGGACCTCCAACCTTCTTTGTAGTACCATTTGAAAGTTTAAATGTAAATTGTATTCCCATTGTAGTAAAAACATGAAACCCACCCTGTATTCAAGAGCATGTTGTGTCTCAACTGATGGCGGGCACAACACAAAAACCTCAGATTATACAACATATGAAAAAGTTGACATGTTTTCAGATCATTTACATTTAAAAAGTATTTTTTTTAAATTACATTTTACTAAAAAAAAAATCTAGAAATTCTAAAATTGCTTAACAACCCTGTTTGTAAGCTTGCAAAATGATATCAATGTGAACTGTTTATGTCTCATGGTATGGTAGGGTATGAAAAATAGGTCAACTCTTGAATTATATCTCTTGAATGTTTCGGCATTCAGGTCCAAAAAGTCACTTTCTGAGCACTTCTACAATAGGCAAATATATGCATGGAAATATTTGTTCAAATCAAAATGGAGTGCTATCAAAAAGTGATTGAATTCAAATGGATTTACCCAGAACAAAAACACACCAGCAAACGCTCACTCAGACAAACCAAAAATGCCCAAATGAGGAGATTAACTCGGGAGTATTGAGCACTTGTGAACAATGGAGAGCAGCCTGACTTTTGCCATTGACAAGGCTGGTCCACAATTAAAAACAGAAATAGGGAAAACAAAAATAAAAAACACAAAGACCCAATCAGTGAAGAGATGAGGCCTCCTTCATAAATCTCCAGCAGAAACATGGAAGATTGCAGAGAGAATGCCAGGCAACAGGGTGTTTGTCCATTTTGCAAAGCAAGAGGGCAGAGGTGCCATGTCTGTGGGGCCACTCGAGTGGCAATTAAGCGTTGCTGTGGCGACCCACAATGGTGCCTGCCTTTCCTGATCAGGGCACGCTTCAATTCACATAAAGTAAGGGTGCAGCTTTTCTCAGGGGTCTATGCCCGGCAGAAACAGGGGCAAGCTCTCTATTCAGGCCAACAGGACGGGAAAAGGGGGGCCAACCATGTTGTTTCAGTTTCAAGATGCAACCACTTCAGACGGACCAAAGCCATAGCTGCTTAACTAGAGAGGAGGAGGGAGAGGGGAAAATGCTGCTTCTCCAGTAGGTTTTACAACCACTTTCACTGATGAGTTCTCCCTCTCAGCATGGGTCCCTGTTTCTTCTAAGTGACTGTTTGATAGTTGAGACAATTCCCTGTGTTCCCTGCATGCTGGTGTTGTTGACTACATTGTAGACTAGAGGGAGGAAATGAGAAGGAATGCCACAAGAATGTCATCACAAGAAAGTAGCTATTTTTCAATCTCAGCATTTATGGGCTGACAAGAAATGATGCCTTTGAAGTCAACAACAGTCCCCCCAAAACACTATGCTCCACTTGCAGCATTGGCACCCTCCTACAGTGGGGAGAACAAGTATTTGATACACTGCCGATTTTGCAGGTTTTCCTACTTACAAAGCATGTAGAGGTCTGTAATTTTTATCATAGGTACACTTCAACTGTGAGAGACGGAAAAGCAGAACTTAATATTTGGTACAGAAACCTTTGTTTAAAATTACAGAGATCATACGTTTCCTGTAGGTCTTGACCAGGTTTGCACACACTGCAGCAGGGATTTTGGCCCACTCCTCCATACAGACCTTCTCCAGATCCTTCAGGTTTCGGGGCTGTCGCTGGGCAAAACTGACTTTCAGCTCCCTCCAAAGATTTTCTATTGGGTTCAGGTCTGGAGACTGGCTAGGCCCCTCCAGGACCCTGAGATGCTTCTTACGGAGCCACTCCTTAGTTGCCCTGGCTGTGTGTTTCGGGTCGTTGTCATGCTGGAAGACTCAGCCACGACCCATCTTCAATGCTCTTACTGAGGGAAGGAGGTTGTTGGCCAAGATCTCGCGATACATGGCCCCATCCATCCTCCCCTCAATACGGTGCAGTCGTCCTGTCCCCTTTGCAGAAAAGCATCCCCAAAGAATGATGTTTCCACCTCCATGCTTCACGGTTGGGATGGTGTTCTTGGGGTTGTACTCATCCTTCTTCTTCCTCCAAACACGGCGAGTGGAGTTTAGACCAAAAAGCTATATTTTTGTCTCATCAGACCACATGACCTTGTCCCATTTCTCCTCTGGATCATCCAGATGGTCATTGGCAAACTTCAGACGGGCCTGGACATGCGCTGGCTTGAGCAGGGGGGACCTTGCGTGCACTGCAGGATTTTAATCCATGACGGCGTAGTGTGTTATTAATGGTTTTCTTTGAGACTGTGGTCCCAGCTCTCTTCAGATCATTGACCAGGTCCTGCCGTGTAGTTCTGGGATGATCCCTCAACTTCCTCATGATCATTGATGCCCCACGAGGTGAGATCTTGCATGGAGCCCCAGACCGAGGGCGATTGACCGTCATCTTGAACTTCTTCCATTTTCTAATAATTGCGCCAACAGTTGTTGCCTTCTCACCAAGCTGCTTCACACCAAGCCCAACCCAGCCTTGTGCAGGTCTACAATTTTATCCCTGATGTCCTTACACAGCTCTCTGGTCTTGGCCATTGTGGAGAGGTTGGAGGCTGTTTGAGTGTGTGGACAGGTGTCTTTTATACAGGTAACGAGTTCAAACAGGTGCAGTTAATACAGGTAATGAGTGGAGAACAGGAGGGCTTCTTAAAGAAAAACTAACAGGTCTGTGAGAGCCGGAATTCTTACTGGTTGGTAGATGATCAAATACTTATGTCATGCAATAAAAAGCAAATTAATTACTTAAAAATCATACAATGTGATTTTCTGGATTTTTGTTTTAGATTCCGTCTCTCACAGTTGAAGTGTACCTATGATATGCTTTGTAAGTAGGAAAACCTGCAAAATCGGCAGTGTATCAAATACTTGTTCTCCCCACTGTATGTTTAAAAATGATTGGACCATTAAAGGTTTGAGGAATTATAGATCATTTCGTGGTAGTGAGGAACCAGGATGTGCAGTGGGCTGAGTGGCTGTGGGAGGCAGGGGCAGTCTGCCCTGGGTTTCAGAGCGGCTGTGGCAGGCAGGGGGCAGTCTGCCCTGGGTTTCAGAGTGGCTGTGGCAGGGAGGGGGCAGTCTGCCCTGGATTTCCTGATTCTGTTTACAGAGGAGGAGAACTCTATGCTAATGTCTTTCCTTCTACAGCTACTGCTTCTTGTTGCCTCCTCACAAGCTTGGAATATCAAGAATAGTAAAACACGTGCACACATGCATGCACACAGACACACACACATTGGTCCAACACTCAGCACCCACACCCCCTCAACCCTAACTATAATAACTGGTTTCCTCCTGATGTAGCTTTCATTCCAATCTGACTGGATACAGTAGTCAAGGAAACAGGTAGAAGGCAGCCAATGAAGATAAACAATGAGAGGAACAGAGAAGTACAGCAGAGACTGAGGAAGTTGAGTTGGCATGGCATGTTTTGCTTTACAGAGGATAGGGTGTGACAGACTAGCAGTAAGGTCATTAGCAATTACCTTGGAAATGGTTATCGCCTTCTTGAAGTCTCTTCCTCCATATATTCTAAACCCCCATGGAGACGGACCAATCAGGTTCACTGTCAGCGCCATCACGTGACCAGAGGTCACCACCCACTGCCTGTTCAAACCCAAGAGAGAGAGAGGAGAGATGTGAGAACTGCTGTAACCTGCATAGTCTGCCTCTTATCTCCTTCTACCTGACTTCCACTTGCCTAAATCCTATTGACATAACATTGTGTAACCACATCTAAAAGGAATGGAAGGAATCTGAAACCCAAAAGGCACATGACTGACATTGTTGAAGTTCCTGCAAACCGACCGTTTCATTAAATCCTTAAAATGTCCTTATGAGAAGAAAAAAATAATTTTTTAATAAAATAATAATAATAATAATAATAATAATAATAATAATAATAATGTGGTATTTTACCACAGGATAAAGGTCGAGTCAAACATTTCTGTTCCACAGAACTCTGTAATTTATTTTTCACCATGGACTTATTTCCATCTTATTTTTAAAGGGATCATAGCACAGGATGCTGCCCTTTCCCTTAGGAAGTGTGTGTTTTACAGTACGTCAATGCATCCGATGGGTACAGTATACACTTAGCCCCCATAACTCCATGCCCTTCTCAGAAACAACATTGACTGTAGTGTTTATCACTTGCACATGTGCTTGTGTTGAGACACTGACAGCTCCTGCTCCTTTCTAATTCATGCTGTGGTGACGAGATGGGGAGAAAACCTCGGCCCGACCGGCAGGCACACAGGCCCCACCACAGTGCAGAAGAGTCCCTATCCCTACACGCACTGCTGCTGGTGATTCAGTAGGAACAAGCCAAGGCTAGTAAGCAATGACCTTGTGAAAATACATACTTGAGTGCCATTAAGGCCATACTATTTCCTTCACAACACACACACACACACCTTGAAATAGGAGGAAATACATATATTTACTGTAGGCTCCAGTGGCGACCAGTCATTCTGTTTTGAGGCCCACCTGTTTAGCCCCCCCAAAAAAATAATTTGTATTTTTTTTTGCCTATTTTGCATGTAATTTTGGCATTAATACGTGTCACATATCCGTTTGCAAACAATGTAAAAAACAAAATCATTGAGTTAATAAAGCCGCATACAAACGTGGTCTCTTTTTTGCTTTCTTGAGTAAGGCAGCTCCAAAATGCAGGTGTTTCAGCCTAGCTCAGTGCTTTCTGTGGTGGTGGGGCAGCAAGCGGAAAATACAGAGCGTATGGGTTGGTAATGTTCTCTAGTTGCGCTGTGATTGGCTCAGTGTTCTGTCACTCATGGGGACAATACATCCCCGCAAAATCTATGGGGAGAGCTCGAAAATTCAAGTCCCTTGGGTGCTGCCATAGATTTACATTAGAAGTGTCCATCCAAGAAGGCTCAAGGTTATTGGCCACAGATAAAATGACGTCAAATCACATTATATCTACCGTAGCTTTGATTGGACTGATCATGTCAACATCATACTTTCAAAATATTGGCTAGCAAGCTAGACAAGCAGTCATCATCATGAATCACGTCGACAATCTACTGGCAAATCCTTTTCAATCCTTGTCATATGAAGAGAAATTATAGATAAAAACGTGTCGTGCTCATCGGCCATAAACATTACACAAGTTGGAAATCGCAAATTCAACAATGAGTGGTTTGGAAGGAATCAGTGGCTAACTGCAAGCGTTGCAAAGCAATCACTAGCCTGCTATTCAGTGGAGTGGGTGTGTGGTCCAAGTCTGGGTTTAAGGGTCTCTTTTCCAAGCTTAAAAGGATAAACATTCACATGCCATGGGCCAGAAAAGGTTGAATACATTGGCCATGCTGTCAATCCGCATTCAAAACAACTGGAAACTCTGAAATCTTCAGTGAATTCAAGGCAACTGGGAACTGAAAAAAACGAGCTCCGACTGGGAAAATAAGTTTTGAATGGTCATCCAACTCGCAATTCCAAGTCGTGAACTCAGGCTTCTTTCTACAGCCCCGACCTGAAGATCACTGACATCATGATTCAACCTTCTTTTTTTCCGAGTTCCCAGTTGTCTTGAAAGCTCCATAAATCCAGAGAATGCCAGCCTTTGATGACAAAGTCAATGACAAAATGTGCCCACAAGAAGGACCGCCGCGCCACCTTCTTGTTCAAGTGAGCACAGCACAAGGTGAGTCCAAAAATTTATTGTATGCTGCTGCATAAATTATGTAATATGCCAGGGAGATATGTATACTGTAGCTAAGAAAGTAATACTAAATGTATGTTGTGTAGTAATCTGTTAGTAGCCCATGTGCCTCACCCTAATAATCTGGTCCCTTTCCCCCCTCATAACTTAGCCTCCTGTTCATACTTGGTGGTGCACATGTAGCCTATAGCATGTTTTAGAGAAATGTAATCATTGAATATTATAAGAGCTTTCATTGTCTGCTTATATGCCCCCTTTATTTATCCTACGGTTAGAATTTGGTGTACAGGGAGAATAATGTAAGAATGGCCCATGTTCTGAGTTCTGTCACAATACATTTCAAAAGTGCTGAACAAATAGTTATATTGACTACATCCGTCCTAGCTCACTCATTAATGTCTTAATCGAAATTACGGATTGCCTCTTATCCGCTAATCGTCCCCTTATGCCATAGTACATCTCAATTGTCAGTAGAAACCACATTTGTTTAAGCAAGTCAGCCATATCAGCAATGTTTTTTTTAAAGGCAGTAAATGAGGCTGAATGAACTGTTTTGCTGCCAGAAAAGGCTCCACGATAGCCAGGTGTAGCAGTGGTAAGGATTCACTCCATGGTGCTGAAAATAAATTCTGCTGTTGGGACAGCTTTATGTAGGCCCTAACAGTTTGTGGTCACCGTTTGTCACCGTTATAGTGCAATTTATATATTGTTTAGTGTTGTGTAGTGGCTTTGCTGGCATGCATCTACATATTTGGGGGTATATGTAGCTCAATGAATTCAACTTCACTTACCTGACAGCAACCTAAATTGCATAACATCAAGTTAAATATAGAAAAGAAAGCATGCTCAGTCTCGCAAATACTTGTCTTGAGAAATGAGGACGTTATTGTGTTAGAGTCTCTGTTGAAATCTGTTCTGTATACAGCCACAGAGAGTTGGTGTGGACTTGACACTAAACATGTTTGACCCAGAAACAAATGCTGACAAATCCTACATCAAAAGGCTGATGTTTCCTAATTCTGTATTCAGAAGTCCTTGTTATGTAACTATACAGCATTACTGTGTATGTAGGTCAGAGTTTGAAACAAAACATACTTGGACATATCAATATCTGAACCTTGGCACACCACGTGGCCACTTGCCTAATCTTATCATGTCTAGCAGGACTGAATGAACAACTGATCATCGGTGGAGAATGCACATGGACTGGGGATGAAGTCCCTGGTCTTAAATCTTCCTGTAAATATGATCCGTCTAGTTCCATATACCATAGTGTTAGAATTGAGGAGGTAATCTATCTTTAGGAGCCAAGGCTGGTTCCACAGCCACCCAGGCAGAAGCATAGCAGACAGTGAACACAGTCAGCTAGGATCTGGGACATCTCTCCCTCCATAAACTGGCCCATTTCAGCCATCTACAGCCGTCTGTCTGTACATTCCACAAGGTTTTGGGACGTGCAGCACTAACCCACCCAGTCATTAGCACATTCAGGCAATTAGTGGGGTTACCAGGCTCTCCATCATTAACAGGCCTTAATTGCTGTGGCCATGAGAAACAGCCAAGGCCCCCGCTGTTGTTCCTGCTGTAATCCCTGGGGACAGACACCCTAAGGTTCCCAGCCTCTGGGCTGTTCAATTAGTCCGACGGACCAGGATCAGCAGCTCTCCCACTGGAGTCATTATCAACAAGGCACAGTGCTAATTCAGTTTATGGACCTACTTATCGCTGTAAAAGTGCTTGCTATTGGCAGTGTAAGGGTGATAGCTGTTTGCTATTGGTATAGTCAGTCAGTTAGGTCAGTTGGGGTGAAAGTGAGCTATTGACCTGAAATTCCGTTGGTACACAGATCATTACGGTAATACATTGACACTTCAGGTGTTAACCCTATCAGTCCTGAGACCCCAGCAAAAATCAGCTTTTCATTTATCTGACTTTTATTTATCTGCATGTCCAGCCCTTATATATAGCCACACATTTAAGTGTTTCACCATTTAATTTTTAGGACAACCAGGGCTACAAGTAGAAAACAAAACAATTTTATATACACTACTGGTCAAAAGTTTTAGAACACCTACTCATTCAAGGGTTATTCTTTATTTGTACTATTTTCTACATTGTAGAATAATATTGAAGACATCAGAACTATGAAATAACACATATGGAATCATGTAGTAACCAAAAAAGTGTTAAACAAATCAAAATATATTTTATATTTGAGATTCTTCAAATAGCCACCCTTTGCCTTGATGACAGCTTTGTACACTCTTGGCATTCTCTCAACCAGCTTCATGAGGTAGACACCTGGAATGCATTTAAATTAACAGGTGTGCCTTCTTAAAAGTTTGTGGAATTTAATGCGTTTGAGCCAATCAGTTGTGTTGAGACAAGGAATGAGGGGGTATACAGAATATATCCCTATCTGGTAAAAGACCAAGTCCATATTATGGCAAGAACAGCTCAAATAAGCTAAGAGAAATGACAGTCCATCATTACTTTAAGACATGAAGGTCTGTCAATACGGAACATTTCAAGAACTTAGAAGGTTTCTTCAAGTGCAGTCGCAAAAACCAAGCGCTATGATGAAAGTGGCTCTCATGAGGACCGCCACAGGAATGGAAGACCCAGAGTTACCTCTACTGCAGAGGATACATTCATTAGAGTTACTAGCCTCAGAAATTGCAGCCCAAATAAATGCTTCAGACACATCAACATCAACTGTTCAGAGGAGACTGTGTGAATCAGGCCTTCATGGTCGATTAGATCGGTGGAAATTTGTCCTTTGGTCTGGAGTCCAAATTTGAGATTTTTGGTTCCAACCGCCATGTCTTTGTGAGACGTGGTGTGGGTGAACGGATGATCTCTGCATGTGTATTTCCCACCATAAAGCATGGAGGAGAAGGTATTATGGTGTGGGGGTGCTTTG